GGATTCTTGACCGTTTACAAGTTTTCAAAAAGATGGGGATGAGGGTTTCCCCGTGGACTTCCCCTTTATTTCATATGATTTGTTTTATTGTCCCATACAAGAGTATATATGGTTTCGGGGTGGGGATTAGACCGTTTTCACGTTTTCAAAAAGGAGGGGTTGGAGGTGACCCCAGGGGACTCGCCTTTTATTTCATTTGATTTGTTTTATTGACCCATACAAGAATATATATGGTTTAGGGGTGGGGATCTTGACCGTTTACAAGTTTTCAAAAGGAAGGGGGATGGGGGTTACCCCCGTGGTCTTCCTCTATATTTCATTTGATTTGTTTTATTGTCCCATACAAGTATATATATGGTTTAGGGATGGGGATCTCGACCGTTTACAAGTTTTCAAAAAGGAGGGGGTGGAGGTTACCCCCGTAGACTTCACCTTTATTTCATATGATTTGTTTTATTGTCCCATACAAGAATATATATGGTTTAGGGGTGGGAATCTCGACCGTTTACAAGTTCTCAAATAGGAGGGGTTTGTGGTTACCGCCTTGGACTTCTCCCTATATTTGATTTGATTTGTTTTATTGTCCCATACAAGAATATATATAGCGTTTCGGGGTGGGGATCTTGGCCGTTTACAAGTTTTCAAAAAGAATGGGGGTGGGGGTCACCCCCGTGGACTTTCCTTGTATTTCATTTGATTTGTTTTATTGTCCCATACAAGTATATATATGGTTTAGGGGTGGGATTCTTGACCGTTTACAAGTTTTCAAAAAGAAGGGGGGGCAGGGGTTACCCCCGTGGACTTCCCCTATATTTCATATGATTTGTTTTATTGTCCCATACAAGAATATATATGGTTTAGGGGTGGGGATCGCGACCGTTTACAAGTTCTCAAACAGGAGGGGTTGGGGGTTTACCCAGGGGACTCGTCTTTTATTTCATTTGATTGTTTTCATTGTCCCATACAAGAATATATATGGTTTCAGGGTGAGGATCTTGACCGTTTACAAGTTTTCAAAAAGAAACGGGATGGGGGTGAACTCGGGGACTCCCCCAATATTTGATTTGATTTGTTTTATTGTCCCATACAAGAATATATATGGTTTAGGGGTGGGGATCTCGACCATTTACCAGATAAAGGCACATTCTCAAATTGAAGAGGGGTGGGGGTAAGAATATATATGGTTTAGGGAGACTTTATTATCTACAAAATGTCTAAAAATTACCAGTAAATTTCTTACTATATTTATACAGTCCAATATAGCTCATAATCATCAGAACTTAGGAAACAGAGAATTTTCAAATAAATCTGTCACTCCAATTATAATTGTGAGATAAGACATTTACCATATGCTTTGTCATAATCTGATAACAGGAGAAAATTATTTAAAAACACTTAGTGTAATCAAACTTTATATATATAATTAACCATTTCTGTACAAAGAGAAATAACTCAATCACATTATAAATACCACTTTTGGATATTAAAAAGGGCGATAAGTCAACAAGGAGAAAAGCTAAAATCGTGAAAATTGAACTCGACCTTCATTTAGTCACAGGAAACAACATATCTAAATTTGAAAAAAATTCCATCAAAGCGTTTTCATGTTATTGAACGGACACTGTTTGGCAGCCGCCCGCAAGCCCGCCCGCCCGCCCGCCGTACATCACCAAATCAATAACCGATATTTCCTTCGAAAATCCGGTTAAAAACTCTTGTTTTTTGGCCCCTTTTTTGACTCCTAATTCCTAAAAAGTTAAGACAATAACACCCAAAATCCTGTTGTGGTGTGAAACCTTTTGGTACAATTTCATAGAGATCCATATACTTTTACTCAAGTTATTGTCTGGAAACCAAATTTCTTCAGACGACGAGGAGAACGTTGTCGTGATAACATTAACCGAACGCAAAAATTTTGTGGTCGTATAAAAACGTTTGTGGCCGAAACATTACCAGCATTTCATTCTATTACAAATTGTTTTCCTTTTTCAGTATAAAATGAAATTAATTGGCATTCAAAATATAGAGCATGTAGAATTAACATACTATGCTAGCATGTAGAATAACATACTATGCTAGTAGTTATACAGTATAAAACTTACTAGAGGATCGATTAAAATTGCTTTTACGATCTATTATGTGGTAATTCAATAACTGTTACTTTACTAGGAGATAGATTAACATAGAGACAAGTCGATTGTATCTGGTCCGATTTGCCATCATGCTAAAGAATAAGGGGGAAGTTGGATGTTCTTCAATGTTCTATCCAATCACAATAAAACAAACATCTGCAAGTCAATAAACGGTCTTCAAAGATTGAAACACTTGTCGATACCACACGTCAATAAGGCTCGAAACTAAATTGAGTGTGTTGTGAAAAAAAATATTTTAAGGGACAGGAGAACACACACTAAAATATAACGGAAGTAAGAACTAACCTTGTCCCCAACTTCGGACAAACATATCAAAACGTTGTGGGGTTTAACTAGATTTTTGAATATCTTTCCACTTCAACCTTTATTTTTCAACCAGTGGAACAATAAAAGGTATATATATATATAGAAGAACACGGGGAAACTTGTTTCACTCTATGATATTGGTCTTGCAAACAACATAAAATGCAGGTACAAATGAAACAGGCCTTAATACAACCGTGTCAAAGAATGCTTGCAGTTACTTGAAACAAGCTCAAAGAACTTTATCATACTTCATACACTAGAAACGCTGTACTTCTGAGAAGATTTTATACTGCGACGACATGAAAAGTACAGGAAAACGAGACCTTTTGGAACGCTTAAAATATTTTTTTTGGGTTCAAAATGTCACTACAGAAACGAATTAATTGAAATTTGTAGTCCTGCTTTAATATGCAAATAAAAGAATAATTTCATTTTCCAATTAAAAATAAAAAACAACTTAGACATGTTTTCAACGATGTTAAAAACGAATTGTTATCAATCCCAAAAATACAAGACGCAATGATTACACTGCAACATATAACGTCTAACAGTTTGTCTTTTGAGACAAAAAGAAATAATAAGGTCTTTCCACTTTTCCGTGGAAAGACCTATTGCTTTTGTTCTGATTATTTATTTTTTTGTTCTTCCGCCTAATTATTTTTCTTGCGCAGTATTATTGTTTGAAAATATGTCGCTTTGATATTTGATATATGATATCGAACAGTTTATACGCTTTTGAAACTGACCCTGTTTAACCGAACACTTTTTCTTGTAAGAGTTATCTCCCCAAACACTGTTTTTCATTTGGCCACTACTCCTTCTCAACCGTAAAAGAAACCGACAAATTTATTTTACCAAATTGCTCGCTATATCTTCAGGATGTTGAGTTTGGTTTTGAACGAAGCGTTCCGGAGACTCCATATGAGAGTTATTTCCCCTTTTGCATTTGATTTAAGTGATATGCATTTGTAACTGGTAAACCATAAGTGATGGAGACCTAGGGTCTTTTGATTTGAGGTCCTTGGTTATGACCTTGAAATTTAGGTCAAGGTAATAGGTAAATAGGACGTTCTAGATTTTGACCTTTTCTTTAAATTCTTATGTATACATGATAACGCCATAAGACTATGTGCATTAGGTTGCAAGCCATATGACCTTGAAAAAGCCAACCAAAAGTGACCTTGTATAAACCGGAAGAAGCTATTTTCTTGTACTTATTTAATATAAACGTATATAAAACCATATATTTTAGGAATCAGTGTCTAGTAAACTATCAAATAATACCGGAAGTGACATTTTTCAAACCGGAAGTCACAAATTATCTCCCATATTTCAAACAAAAGTGTATAGAAACCATATATTTTTGGAATCAGCGTACAATAAGCTATCATTTGACACTGAAAATGACATTTTAAAGCAGATATTAAGATTTTCATATCAAAATATATCGTTTCGGATGGAAAAACCTTCAATTATTTAACTCCATTTGTGTTTGCTTTGTAAATAATGTTACCATAAAAAGCTTTGTGTGAAATTCTCTTTTGAAGTACCTGCATCCATGACAAATCCCTATAACTGTGTAAACATTCATTTAAAGATTCACTATTTTTTCTCTTGTATAATTTTACTTTTGGTTATGGAAATATTACGTTCGTTGCGATCGTAGACTTAATTGCACACACACGCTAGTGGTTAAGACCGATGGCTACAGTGCTGAAGGTCCCGGGTTCGATTATGACTCGGGGCGCTGGAAATTTCAGTACATTAGAAGGGTGATTTTCACCCTCCCACACACATTTCTGGTACCCATACCGGAGTTTAAACTAGAATGGGTACTTTGGGGGCCTCGGTTGGTCGAAGTGGCCCCCGACTTTGACCAGGAGACCAATCTTCAGATATCTCCGGTTTGTCTGTTCCCATCGAGTTGCCCTGTGGTTCTCTCCGAGTACTTCGGCTTTTTCCACCATAATAACAGACTTTCTGGTGTCCTAGCACTCCCGTGGTGTTGGGTTGGGGATTTTGTCCTTGGTGGTGGGTTGTACATATGTTTGTGACACATCTCCACTAATCCTGTTAGGGAGTGTTCATGGATACCACTGTACCCTGTCAGCTTTCGAGGGGAGCTCCGAATAACGGAGGTTTCAACCCGAACATACATGTATACATACATACATACATACATACATACATACATACATACATACATACATACACGCGCATATGAAACCAACTGAGAAATGTACAACCTATTAAAAGGAGTATATGGAATATGAAAATTAAGAAAAGGGAAAACACATAAAGAAATATATGAGTAGTTACTCTAAACAGTATCGATGTATAAATAAAAGACATCAATATTCCACCAAATGTGTTGAAATTCACTGTAATGCAGAAATGCAGTAATGCGAATGACTATTCTTAAAACTGATAAAGTTAATTAGCAACGTTATGTCATCATTTGGTAAAGTTTTTGGTGGTTCACAATGGATAAAAAAATCTGACCGCCAGTGTATATCTTGCTTTATGAATATTAGATATTACCTAATCCAGCAGAACTTCCTCCAACTCCTGCAGCGGCGGTCCCCCCAACAGCAGCGCCAATTCCGGCCCCAGCTGCTGTCCCTGTTGCTGTTGCTCCTGCAATCGCTCCACCAGAAGCTGCTGCTCCAACTGCACCTGCAACGGCTGAGGCAGTGCCAGCAGTCATTCCAGCAGCACCGCCAGCACTGCCACCAGTTGCAGCAATTGCACCAATAAAAGGCAGAGCTGCACCACCGGTTGTAATTGCAGCAACACAAGCAGTCGTTGCAATGACCATTTTAGCTATGAAAGATAAAAAAATAGTCTAGCCCTTATTCTTTTTTACAAGAGTTTTTACCATATTTAATGAATTAATCATCCCAAAATATTTAAATTTATTTTGAAAATAATCTACAGTCATAAAAATAAATAATGATATTCTTAATAAAACCCCCCAAAAAAAAGAAAAAAGAAAAACAATTAGACAATTGCAACGATATCTTCCTTTAATCATGAATGTTAATTTACCATACTTACCGTTTCGTCAGTACCCACAGGTAAGAATAAAATTACAGTTTTATTTCCTATATATATCTTAACTGATAAATGGTTACTATTTATAAATCAGTGTAAGAAGAAATTTCCAATTCGGTTTTCCGTTATTGTACTGGCGTTATTTTTCTATATGTTGGAAAAAACTGTATTTATTTTTAAACAGAAAACTTTCATCGAAGTTTATTGTTATCATTTGGGGTTTATTCAGTGGTTGCTTAGCATCATTTGAACAGGCTTAAGGTTAGTAGTTTAACAGAAATAATTATTAAATTTAGTAGATAAACTCTCTGCATATTTGCAGCAACACAAACAGTCGTTGCAATGACCATTTTAGCTATGCAAGATGAAAATAGGTATAGTCTTATTCGTTATTTACAAGAGTTTTTAGCATATTAAATGAATCATCTCAAAGTATTTAGATTTATTTTGAAAGTAATCTACAGCCATAAAAATAAATTGTGATATTCTTAAAAAAAAAACGATTAGAGAATTGCAACGATATCTTCCTTTAAACATGAATGTTAATTTCCCATACTTACTGAATTACCGTTTTGTCAGTACCCACAAGTAAGAAAAAAATTAACGTTGCATTGCCTATATATCATTTAGTTGATAAATGATTACTATTTATAAGTCGGTGTAAGAAGAAACTTTCCAATTCGGTTTTCCGTTATTGTACTGGTGTTATTTTTATATGTTGGATAACAACTGTATTTATTTTTAAACGGAAAACTTTTGTTATCATTTGGTGATTAATTCAGTGGTCGCTTGGCATCATTTGAACAAGGTTAGTATTTTAACATAAATAATTATTAAATTCAGTAGATATACTGTATTCAGGTAATTAATTCATCAGTCTAATTCTGCGATTTTATACGCGATTATTTTGATTTTCGTATGAAATTTCCGTTTTTCTTATTGAACGAATAAAACACTTCCGACACAAAGTTGATAGTCTCTATAAAATTGTTTTCTTTTATAGACTCCATACAGTTGAAACCTTGACAAATTAACGCATGGTCGGTTGATCCATCATTGTATTATATTGTTTATGCACCTGTCCGATATTGAAACCCGTGTGTTGACCTCTAGATGCCGTGCCTTTGTCTAATTAACGCATGCACTTACGCCTCCTTTTATTCATACTAGTTTGAATTCATCGTTGACAAGTCTTTATGTTTAAGGAAAATTCATAAGACCGTTATCATTTTCTGTTGTGTGTTAACAATCGTTTTCCCTTTATTCGCTGGTAGTCTTTAACAACAACAAATATAATTTTTTTCGTCTGACTACAGTTCAATTCCTTCAAGGGAACGCATCTATTACATAATAGAAAGAAAAAAACACAGTTATTTGTGAATTATCTTTTACAATATTCTAAAAACATGTACAAAAATAGAGGCGAATGATACCAAAGGGACATTCAAACTCATAAATCGAAAATAAACGGACAACGCCATGGCTAAAAAAGAAAAAGACAAACAACAGTACACAAAACACAACATAGAAAACCAAAGACTGGGCAACACGAACCCCACCAAAAACTGGAGTTGATCTCAGGTGCTCCGGAAGGGTAAGCAGATCCTGCTCCACATGTGGCACCCGTCGTGTTGCTTATGTTAGTTCAAACCTGGTGATAAATCTAATTCGGTAGGTCACATTCGGGGAAAAGGGGACGGCATTGTTATTACGACAATTGGAACATATCCGTTGTCATTTGTGAAACGGATATACCATAACGGTCAACCAAATCGTGATGGCGTCCGAAAAATTTACGTAGTGTAAAATCGAGTGAATCAATATAGTTTAATCTCATATGTACAATTTCAATAAAGTTATTCTTTCACTTTTGCATGATAACTGTGATTGTCGTTTTCTCTTCAAAATTCTTCGAAAATCAGTGCCGATCAATAATTTTTAAAAGAGTTGTGCCCCTTGGAAACATTAATCATATTGAAAATTGCATCGTTAGCGCTTCTTGTCAGATTTTTATGAAACTTATATCATAGGTTTATATTAGCAATGTCTTGGACGAGTTCGAAAATTAGTGCAGATCAATTATTTTTAAAAGAGTTATGCCCCTTGGAAATATAAATTATATGGAGAATTGCATTGTTAGCGCTCTCATATGTACAATTCTTGCCAGAATTTTATGAAACTTAAATCATAGGTTTATATAAGCAATGTCTTCGACGAATTCGAAAATCAGTGCCGATCAGTAATTTTTAAAAGATTTATGCCCCTTTGAAATATTAATTATATGGAAAATTGCCTTATGGTCGCTCTAATGTGTACAATTCTTGCCAGATTTTTATGAAATTTATATAATAGGTTTATATCATCAATGTATTTAAAGAGTTAAAAAAAATTTAAAAGAGTTATGCCCCTTGAAAATATTGATTATATGGAAAAATTGCAATGTTATCGCTCTCATGTGTTCAATCCTTGCCAGAATTTTATTAAACTTATATCATAGGTTTATATCAGCAATGTCTTTGACACTTTCGAAAAAAAGTTCTGATCAAATATTTTTAACGAGTTATGCCCCTTGGAAATATAAATTATAATGGAAATCACATTGCATTTGCTTTGAAGCCTTCTTTTCTCTTAAAATATTAATAAAAAAATTTAAAGAAGAAAAAAAAGTGTTTTTTTAGTTATTGCCATTCTAACTTGGATAGATAAAATATGTGCAACGCTGGGGACATTGAAACTCTTTTCTTTTATTGTATATTGTAGATGACGATATTAACAGCCGGTTCATGTGCTTTTATAATCACCTCTACTGGGAATGCTTTACCTGCAGTTGTGGGTTCCGCTGCGGGATTAATTGCTTCAGGTGTAAAACTTTGGATACAATCTCAACCTCTCAAGGTAGCACTGGCAACAGCTGTGGGAACTGGTACATCGTCAGGAGCTATTGCTGGAGCTGTTGCTACTAAAACTGCGGCAAATGCTTTCACAGGTGCGCTAATAGGAGGCTTGTCTGCCGGAAGTGTTGGGTCTGTCATGGCTGGAAGTATTGCTGTAGCATCTGGTACATTGTCATCAAGCCCTGTAGGTTTGTTGACTGTCGGAACCAACTCAAGGGGGAATCAGATAACACACGATTGTTGGAAACAAGTAGTACACGAAACATCAGAGGAGCCATCTAATGGGATACTTCTGAAAGAGTTGATATCTCATCCAAATGTTGCTGACGTAACAGTGAAACCATGTGGAAGTCTTCCATACGTTGTCATTGAGAATACCTGGAATGAAAAATTTGAACTCGAATATGTAGCACTACTTGACTCCGACAAATTGTTCTTACACGTTCAGCCACTCTGAATCTGAATGAAGCCACTACAACAATTATAATAATATGTTCGATGTAAACTTTAAAAATTTTAAGTAATATTACAGTTGGTCAATTTTTAGTGTAAGGTATAATTTAAAATAAAATAAACTGTGTGAATAACGATACTGTCTGATTTTTCTTTGACAGTAAGATATTGACAACAATGATAAGCCTCTTGCATTCACGGGAAACCTACGGAAAAAGAAGGAATATATTAAAACATAACACAAAATCCCTACACACAATTGACACATCCCTAAACAAATAGCCAAACTTTTATTGCTTATATTCTGAGTCATAGCGAAGCCATTTAAATACAACAAAAGCTCACACCTGACAGTGTGACAGTCCCTATCATAGTATTAAATAAAATTCGTTGCCAGATGTCTAAGACGCTATATCTAAGCATTGAAGACTGACAGAGGTAATATCAACAAATTACAGATACTACAGACACGGACATCGGAAAAATACTCCCAATATTTGCCCGAAAATCCAATCTCAATGTAGAGTATGGGAACAACACAACTGCACAAGACTCTTCTTTTTTCAGATATCGGTTTCCACAACACTTGTTTCAATCCTTTTTTTTCAACATTAGTCAAAGAAGGAAATTTGAAGTACTGTGACAGTGTTTACTTCCCTAGAATCACCTGCACTTACAAAATTTTGCTCTTCTCCATACACTACTGCTGGCTGATGAAAAATGGCTGCGGAACCGTAATGATGAGCAAACGCATACACCATGCGATTACATAATTTAGTGCACAAGACGCACAGTATTGATGATGATTTCGTTGATCACCTAAAGTTTGGTTACTATGTTGATCCCATTTATATAAACATAAAAGATATCTCACTTAACAGCCATGTCCACTGAATACCTTGACTTAGATATACAAACTGAAAATGAGGGTAGGTTTAGTACTCATTTAACTATACAGCAAAATAACTTCAATTTTCCCTTTGTAACGGCATTGTGTTTATAAGCAACAATCCAGCAGCATATGGAATTTTTATCATATTGGTTTATACGATTTTCCATAGATTGAATTTCCGATCAGGATTTCGTTAAAAGACTATTATCAGAGAAAGCAATATATTATCTTATTTTACTTGTTTTGTGTCTAAGTGAAGTCCCATCAAAATCGATAATGCTTTCAGATGTGCTCCAAGGATAACAATATCCAGCTTAAACAAGCAAGACAATACTGAAAGGGTAATAGAGTCTTTTTTTAAAGAACAGACAACACCATGATCAAAAACAAAAAGAAGACGAACAGATAAACTACTGCACAGAAACCTACTAATTGAGCAACAAGAACTCTGAAGAAAAAAAACACGAGAAAGAAACTCACATGCTTCGGAAACTTATAGCCGCCTATATGGTATGGGTTTTTCTCATTGTTCAAGGTCGTACGGTTGCCTATAATTGCTTACATCAACTTCATTTGAACTGGGGTTGATAGTTGTCTCATTGGCAATCATACCACATCTCCTTATTTTTATACGACCGCAAAAAAATTTTTGTGGTCGTATATTGGTATGACGTTGGCGTCGTCGTCGTCGTCGTCGTCGTCTGGCGTCGTCCGGCGTCGTCCGAAGACACATTGGTTTTCGCACTCTAACTTTAGTTTAAGTGAATGGATCTCTATGAAATTTTACCACAAGGTTCAATACCACAAAAGGAAGGTTGGGATTGATTTTGGGGGTTATGGTACCAACAGTAAAGGAATAAGGGGCCAAAAAGGGGCCAAAAATAAGCATTTTTGTAACTTCCAGACATAACTTGTGTGTTAGTGTATGGATCTCTCTGACATTGTACCACAAGGTTCCATATCACAAAAGGAATGCTGGGATTGATTTTGGGGGTAGTTGCCTCAAAATTTTAGGAATTAGGGGCCAAAAAAGGGGCAAAAAACAAGCATTTTTCTAGTTTCATGACAATAACTTGTGTGTAAGTGTATGGATCTTTCTGAAATTGTACTACAAGGTTCCATATCACAAAGGGAAAGCTGGAATTGAGTTTGGGGGTAATTGCCGAAACGTTTAGGAATTGGGGGGCCAAAAAGGGGCCAAAATAAGCATTTTTCTAGTTTCCAGACAATAACTTGTGTTCAAGTGTATGGATCTCTCTGAAATTGTACTGCAAGGTACCATACCACAAAGGGAAGGCTGGGATTGATGATGGGGGTAATTGCCTCAATATTTTAGGAATTAGGGGCCAAAAAGGGGCAAAAAACAAGAATTTTTCTAGATTCAGGACAAT